AAAAAAAAAAAAAAAAAAAAAAAAAAGAGAGCAACACCAAGGCAAGGGAGCAAGGCCTCAAGCCTGGATGTAAAAGATGTGAAGGACATGATTGCCATGATCAGACTGTGCACAATTCTGTCGCACCTTTTGCCCTCTGCACGTTCCGGAATACTACCCACCGACATGGACTACCCACCGACATGGACTTGCCCCGCCCAGTGTAGGGGCAATCTTGTGTCTTTCCCAACCAAAATTTCGGATATCAGATTTGAGGCGGTGATAGTGATCTTCAAATTTACAAAACAAAATGAAAACACAAAAACGGATAATGTAAGATACAAGCTTGGCGCCCGCAGGAAGATGATTCGCACAGAACATATCAACTATTATCAAGACAAGACATTCTCCAAGTGGGGCCACAAGAGAATCGGTGACTGACAGTGGGGAGTTGCGGGCTGCAACAGTCTATGCATCGACACATGGTTCAGCCACATGCCTATTCTTTTCTTTTTGTGTTTGAAGCTAGATGCCATTTTTCTATTTGTAGATTACCTGGAACCGGTCAGATCATATCTCAAGGCCATGTCGCCCAACATAAACACCCACAAAAAAGTTGGGAGTCATGGCTCCATTGCGGTCAACGCCATTAGCACTTTCCGCTAGAAAGGTTGTGGCTCCACAGATTATCCAAGGATTTCTCGGGAAGACACCAGCATCCCCACTGCTGTCCACTGATCTCAGCTCAGCGCTCCACTAGGCGGGGCACTTCAGGGGATTTCCTCGAAGTGTCCCGCTGTGGCATACTGCGCAGCCACACGGGCCTGCAGGGCCCGACCCGGCGGAAAATAAGGGCCCTACAGGCCCTGTGTCGTTTCAGCCTAAAAGCCTGAAAACGAGGGCCATTTTCAGGACCGCATGAAGTCGACCTGCTCTGAAACTCAGGCGCCAGACCAGGGTTTAGCACAGGTCATTTTTGGGCCTGTTTCAAGACAACCTTTGTTTGAACTTCAACGCCAGGGTCTGGCACGTTTCGGCATTGGCAAGAGCAGCCTCCCGGACAGGCCAGCACTATATGGAACTGACCCGCCCTGCAGGCTGCAGGTAGTTCATAGGGACTTCCCAGGCAGTTCACGGGCACTTCACGTGCAGGAGGCAGGAGGCAGTCTTCAGGATTCGGCAGCAGCACTCTGGAGGAGCGCTGCAGTAGTAGTAGTAGCGTTAGGAGTAGTCTTCAGCGCTGGGTGCTATTAGGAGCTAGAGTAGCGTTGGCGAGAGAGAGAGAGAGTTGGCGGAGGCCAGGGAGACTTACCTGTGGCACCATAGCTCCAGCTTTGTCTTCGATGTACCTGCAACCAGGCGCCACCTTCACAGGTTAGTACCGGACTCTGTGTGTGTGTGTGTGTGTGTGTGTGTGTGTGTGTGTGTGTGTGTGTGTGTGTGTGTGTGTGTGTGTGTGTGTGTGTGTGT